AATTCTCATGAAAGACGCGCCGGCTCCTTTCCTCCAGCCACCAAATACGACTCCCTTGCTAGAGATCCAAGCGTAAGATGGACGGCACGGACAGAAACCGTAAGACCGGACACGGACAGAGACCGTAAGAACGCCTATAATGCGTGCGGTACAGAGGTCAAGTCCCGGATTGGCTTACGTCCAAACCATTCCAGTTTATACCCCTAGGGCGAATGGTACCGGAGGATAGGAATACAGTCTTGTACAGTGAATGGCCTCAAAATTCATTGTATAGGCCAGTTCGCGCTCAATAAGCCACTACGATTCTTAATGAAGTGAATGCGTGCCTCATCGCCGAAAGGCTCTTCGGACTAGAGGTCTTTTCACGCACAGGTCCCTACTGTCTAGATTCCATGGGAACAGCCTCAAAGGCATATGGTACGATAAGTCCCTGACGAGTAGGATTAATACGCTTGGCAGGACCGAACCCTGCGCCTCTGAGCAAACCCTGTGTTGCGCCTTTTCCAAGGAAACCCCGTTTATGAGACCCTATCATACCTGCAACATACCGACCAGGACGCCAACCGCGCCGCCCACAAATGGACGACCGTACCTGATGCTCGTATTGCTTCATTTGCGAAGAAATATGAAGCGAAGGGATTGATATGAAGCGGCTGCGGTGCTGCATGGATATATGAGTACATACATGCAGCCGTATCTACCGTAGCGGTTATTGGCAAGATGCCTACGGGAAACTCGTCCGAAATTGCTTTTTGAGTCACAAGAGAGAACTTTCTTTCTTGGCAGGATTTTGACCGTTCCACTTCCTTTTTTCACCATTTTCCCCACTATATACCACCCTGCTATTATATGAGACCGAGTAGCAAAACAAAGCCATATGCCTTTGACTAGAACGAAACCGAATAAATTGCAAAGAAGTTTTTCACCTTAGAATATCGAAAAAGGGACCAAAAGAGGAAACTGTTCGTACTCAGTCACTACTACTATCAAAGCATTCTCTTATCAACTTGACCTTTATGATTTTTCGCTATGGCACTCGAAAACGTAGTGACTGTGTCATTGCTATCGCATTAATGCCCTCAAATTATCGCCACCGTTCTACTCTAATGTGATACGTTTTCAACACAGGCATAAAAATGACCGTTCCCTCTCATATCACTCAAGATGGCATTTATCGAGTGCTTACGATCTTTCTCAATCTTCAATATTCATTTACTAATGATTTTTGGTCATGAAAAAACAACTGTTTATAATTATGCTATTCATCATCCGGTCATGCCTCTCTTTTTTTCGTTGACGATGTGATGAATTGTTTATTGTTTATTGTTTATTTATAACGCTGGACTAGACAAACTTAACATAACTAGCATTTCCTTCTTTGCTAGGCGCAGAAAGGCAATAGGGCACGTGAAAGTAGGAACAGAAAAAAAATAAAGATCAGTTTCACTTACTTTCCCTTTAGAATCGTAGTGGCCTTACTGAATTGTGATGCCGACCTATATGATGCCTCGGCGAGGGCTAGCGCGATGTCTACTGTGCCAGTGTTTTTTATCTCACTCTGAAACCAACTTACCTTTCCTGGAGGGTAGAAGACCTGGATAGGTGGGCAGCAGCTGATCCGGTATTGAACCTAGGACCGCGCGCGTGGTAAACGCTGGCAATTGCCACTACAACACTCGCGCAACGAAGTAAGGAGTAAATTACTAAATCTACGGGAAAGAGACATCAAGCTGATAGGGAAGATGACGCACGGCATAGTGTATTAGAACACTAGCTGCTGTGGCGTCAGGTTCGGGTTCAATTCCTGCCTGGGATAAGGGTTTTTGTCCCTAACTCAGCATTGTCGTGTTGATATTAGTAGCAATGGGATTCGACAATTTAGCACTCGGTCTAAAGTGGAAGCAGGCTACTATATAGTGGGGTTATGGCAAGAAATCGAAGCGAAATGGTCAAAAATCTGCAGCAAAAACCTTTGTTCTACAGGACTCAGGTAGCTATTTTGGACGAGCTTCCCGTTGGCATCGTGCCAATAACGGGTACGGTAGATACGGCTGCATGTATGTACTCATATATCCATGAAGCACCGCAGCCGCTTATACTGCACTTCGCAAATGAAGCGAAGAGACTTTCCAGATCAGCATGGGTGGACGGCTGTGGGGTAGCAATCGGTTCAGTAGCGGTTTTGCCATGGTTTAGCGCGCTATAAGAGTACCTTGATTGAGAAGGGCGGTATGCAACGCTTGCTCAGGGCTGATCTTGCTCATACTACTCGACCTTTATCAAAGAGAAGTAAGTTACTAAGTTCTCCGATCAACTAGGGCCAAATGGAGAGAGTCCACAAGCACCATCTGCGACCGACGGTGCTCCAAAACGCTCAAGCAGCAATTCTGAACGTCGGGCAAAGCCGGCGATTGCTGGCACACCAGCTAATACTGGCCATATTGCAAAATCCGAAGCTAATTGGCCTCCGAACAATCAGGTGCTGAGGTCGGGCCTGCAGCTGAGCACAAGACAGAATCGAAACGAGTTCAAGGAAGCAGATGACATACTGCCGACGATGCGACCGGGCAGGGCATAAGCCCAGAGAAGAAGCAACCCGACAAGGAGGAGTTGGCTCGCGAAGTCTCAGGCGTGCTGACCACGAGGAGTCTCCCAAAAAGATAAGGAGGGACGCATCCACCGAGGACCTCATTGAAGGTGAACGCCGTCCAGAAGATGCAATAGATTCTGGAGCGGCCCTCTGACCAAAAGAGCGAACCCTATTCTTGTGAACGACGGCGATTGCAAAAAAGAACGGGTCCCGCTGGCGAGGGACGGTGCAGGCCAAACGCTGGGAGAAGAAGATGATGATGGAAGGGAAAAAGTGTCGCTTTCTTAGATTTCCTCCATTCCATGAACTCTTACAGTCGATTGATTCTCCTGAAAACTATGTTTTCAAATGTCTTCATGTTATCCCGGGGGCAGTGCGGCGACGGGGGCATTTTTCTTCCCATCTAGACAGCCTTTTTTGACACGTTTTACCATGATGGCTAGACGAGCTTGCTCCAGCTTCACAAGAGTTCACAAGTTTCACCAGAGTGAGACTTGTAAATCGGAAGTAGTGAAGCAGTGAAAGTGCAAAAGCCTCCCCCCCGTCGCCGAACTGCACGGTTTTCCTGCTCTGTTTGCCCACTAGGAGTATTGCAAAGATTCATTTTTTCCACAGCCAGCAAAAAAAAACGAGGCGATTGCCTTCAATTGTGCAGCGGATCTTTATAAATTAGTATCATTGGTTACTGGCTCTTCTTTGAAAATGCGGCCAATCATCTTGCAACGGCAGGACGCCATCCCCTCCCCTTGCTCATTTCTGTTTTTCTGTACAAAAATTCACGACGCCCGCTATGACGCTATAGCCTTAACCCCGTTTATAACAGAAAATCGCTTTTTCAGGGTCAACAAAATGAAAGCGCTGCTGCAACTAGTAGCGCTTTTTCACGTCCTTAATGCGATCTCACTGCCGTTCTTCAGGAATGAGGTGAGTGCTAGGATGAAGAAATCTTTGAAAACAGTCCTGTAAATATATTATCTATCTGTAATATTTGTATATATGTATATATATTTTCAGCCTTCGTTACCGTATTTACATCCATTATCACCACCAGAAACGAGTCCAGCTAGCGCCAGAGCCAAACGGCAAGCATATCAAGTAGGTGCCAAGATTTTGCCTCTTGGAAACTTGCGCGTTTTTTTCGAGGGTTCTCTTGACCCATAATTCCCCAGAAGCTTTACTTATTCAATTGCAGGTATACGTTGACGGCGAATCTTCTGTAAGTCTGGACAAGACTGGACAAACTGAGTCTGGACCGTGGGGACCGTGGGTACCTGAACAATGTTCGCGAACATGCGGAGGCGGTGTCCAAACCGAAAAGCGACAATGCTCGTGAGTATTTCCCGCAGTATAGTTCCTACAGAACAGTTTCCTACAGTAATCTGTCTATCCATAAGTAGTCGAAGGCATTCGCACGTTACAGCCATAGGCAAGAAGGATACTTAAGTGGTCCGGTAATAGTGCATAGCTGTAGGCCGAAAGAGAAATACCTGGTAAGAAGGCGAAGGCCCGTGTCATCCACTAGCTTTGCGGATGCAGTTCGGGACGCATTCTACGGGGGGGCACATGAAAGCGTAGTGTGAAATAGGGCTTGAGCAAGCACGTGCAGCCATCTTGAGTAAAACCCGGTCCAAATTGGAGAGGAGGCCTGTCTAGTATTGGGTCGACACGGTGATGGGAAGAATTTCGCAAGTTGCAAAGATGCCCCGTCCCGGAACTGGCGCCAGTTTTTGAGCTTCGGAAACTTGTCTCCTGCTGGTACCAAGCATCTCAGCTTATCAGACTAGAACTAGAGCTTTTGTATAAAACGTGTCTTGGGGGCTGGAAATGGGAGGAAAATGACCGAACAACTAGGCCGTCTAGCTACTCTTCACCAAATAGGACTCAGTTCCTGGAGAGTTTGTAGAGGCCTGGGAAGTACATGTGGCTTACGAAGGCCATAAATAGGGGAAGAAGAATCTGAGGAAAAGACAGTTAAACATCCTGACTTTCCATTCCAAGGGACTAGCCAGCTAGGACTAAAATGACAAATGTCCGCATGTTATGCTACGATACTTTAGAATGCTGTATACTGTACTGGCCTGTAGAACCACTCAACCCTCAAAACATCGAAACTGCTACATAAAAAAAGTCGAGGGATATTTTTTTCCAGCCACTGACGCCCCCCCCCCTCTTTCTGATATGCAGAACACATTCCACCTCCGTTTAGAGTTGTTCTGATTTTTGAGCCTTGGATGATCCCATGGAAATACTTGTGGGGCCCCGCAAATGTTCAAATCAGTGTTTTTGCTTTCGAGACGAGTCTAACACATCGCTCAAGGGTGAACTAGATGCACGAAAGCTTTACAACTACACTTCTCCTCAAAGAGTGCACAAGATATTCGCGATTGCATAAACATCGCAACAGCGGGCCACGAATGTTTTTTGTATGGCAAGAATATGACGAGCTCATAACAATTCTGACAACGAGTTTGAGTGAGGAACATATGCAACAGCGTACACATTCTAATTTTGTTTCTTACCCATTACCCTGTGTAACACATGGTACCCTCATGTGTGATGAGCTACATATGTATCGCATACGGCGAAAAATATAACCTTAAAGACAGTTCTCGCGATCAGGTGACCCGCGAAATGCCTCCGTGAATTTGGCATTCGGGTCTGCATTCGCAAAGAATGTAGTACTTTCGTCACTCGAACGCTCGGATAAAGAGACTAGAGACGCGTGATTATTGCAACCATTGCAACCACGTTTACTCTGCAAGACAACGGCTTACAAGCGGAATTGCGTGTGTACGTAGCGTTGCCTGGAGCGTCGTAGGGTGATTTCCTGTGC